TCCTGCTGACTGCACCTGCTCTGGCACCACCGTGAAGTCAGAGACCCCGCGATGAGCCATCCGTGTCATGTCCTGTCTCACCTGATCCACGCGCTAAGCGGTTCCCTGGTGGTCTGCTTCTCGCTGTTCGGAATTGGGCTCAGGATCAAAGGTGAACAAGACCAAATTCCTGCTCTTAGGAAGTCCAAAGTGGGGCTACTGACTGGCCGCCAGCCCCTCAGATACTGAGCTGACGTTGCCGCCACGCCGCTTACACCCAAGGAGCTCACGGTCCGGTCTAGGGAGGCAGTTCAATGTTCTGCTATTCTAATTTTGATATTTTTGTCATTATTGCAGCACCAATTTTTAAATATTGTGGTAAAGTATACACAATATATTCACCATCTTTCTTTTTCTTTTCTTTTCTTTTTTTTTTTTTTGAAGAGGTTTTTGCTATAGGGCGCATGCACTCGCCAGGCAGACAGAGAGACCGAGAGACAGAAAGCGAGAAATTACCCCCCCAGGGGGGATGGCCACGCCGCACTCCCTTCTCTTCCATTCTCCTCTCGGGATCTTGGGTGCGCCCACACATGCGCCCGGTGTGAGTTTAAGCCACTGGGTCCGGGACGTGAACCGCAGTTGACTACATGGGAGTCCAGCGATATAGCCATTACGCTAACTGCTGGTCCCTTCACCATCTTATTTTTAACTATAGCACTATCAAAATATTTTCATTTTGTAAAACGTTTATTTTTCTATGAAGGAGAGAGAGGCAGAGATAGAGAGAGGCAGAAAGAGGCATCCCCAACAGTCTTCCTGCCATGATCCACGCCCGGTCTTGACCGACCCAGACTGCGGGCTGCATGCACATATCTGGTGTGTACAGAGAAGCCTCAGGATGTGAACTGGGGACCTTCCCGTGTGGGTTCAGCATCAGAGTGCTGCATTAACATTGTGTTGTTAGCAAGCAGCCTCCCCGCTTTTCCTGGTTTTAGCTAGAGGGCTTGTGCACTTGCCAGAGAGAGGCAGAGAGGGGTGGAGAAAAACAGAGAGGCAGAGGGAGAGAGAGAAATCACCCCCTGGGGGATGGCCATGCCGTAATCATCCCTTCTCCCCATTCTCCTCCTTGGATGTTGGGCACATCAACATCGCACTTGGCAGCTGGCCTCCCCTTAAAAAAAAAAAAAGTTTATTGGGACCAATAGGTGGTGTAGTGGTTAAGATTCAGGTCTCCCACCTGGCTGACCACAGTTCGAGTCCCAGGCATGGCTGCTTGAAACTCACGCCAGGCGTGTGTGCGTGCGTGCCCAAAGCCCTGAGAGGAGAACGGAAGAGAAGGGATTACGGCATGGCCATGCCCCCTAGGGGTGATTTCTCGCTTTCTGTCTCTTTGTCTCTCTGTCTCTCCTGTGAGTGCACTCATCCTATAGCAAAAATCTCTCTCAAAAATAGTTTATTTATTTCCAGGGAGGGAGGGAGGGAGAGAGAGGGTCTTGCATGATGCACTCCTTGCCAAGCCTTTCTGCCAGCCAGGATCATGGGCATTCCCATGTACCAGGTGTGCTCAGGTTGACCCGGGATCCGAACCCTGGGCATCTATCGTAATTTGAGAAGAAACAACTGGGAAACTAGTCCAAACTACGCAGTGAACACCGGCAGCCGTTACTGGCAGTGGTAACGGCCGGGGTTACCTGGCATGTCCCCGCCACCCGGTCCTGGGACAGGGAGGCCAGCGTGGGCTTTCAGGAAGGCAGCCCTCAGACATCACCAGGGGCCTGCCGGGGGTGCAGCTGGCTGTACAGGTCCAGGAGGTGACCAGCTTCGATGTGGCTGAGGGCCAGTGGGCAGTGAGTCAGGTTGCACATCAGGGTCAGCTGTGGTGAGTGGGCAAGAGGCAAGGGGAGGCCGGTCTGGGCAGCAGGGCCTGGCACCCCCTGTAGGAGAGCAACTTGGCAATGTGTGTCAGAACCCCGTATGATGGTTATTCTCATGTGTCAATCTGACTGGGCTGTGGTGCCCAGATCTTTGGCCAAACATTATTCTAGATGTTTCTATGAAGTCTGTTGGTGAGGTCAACAGTTAAACCAGTGAACTGAGTCAAGCAGATTACCCTCTATGACATGGGTGGGCCCCACCCCCACCCAACCAGTTGAAGGTCAGAACAGAAGCAGACCCATGTTCCCTGAGCAGCAAGGAAGGCTGCCTTTGGATTCTTGCGGGTTTTAGCGCCTCCGTCGATAGCTTTCTGGTCTACCCTATTGGATTTTTATTTTTTATTTATTTATTTATTTTTTGGACTCACCACGGCCAGTCCTTCTCATGTGAGCCAATTCCTTCAACTCGGTCAATCAGGCCAGCAGGTGGTGGGAGGTTAAGGCGTCGAACCCCACATGGCCAGCTGTGCTGCTTGAGTTGCGGACTGGCAGCGTGAAAATCACGCTGGGCGCACGTGTGTACGTGCCCGACATGCCATGAGGAGACTACAGGAAAAGGGATCATGGTACAGCCGTCGCCACTGCCAAGTGGCTTCCCACTTTCTCTCTCTCTCTGGTGTGCATGGGCACTCCGTAGCAAAAACTAAAAAAACTAAAAAGGGATGAATCAACTACTCAGTCTCCCTGTACTACATGTGTAGCCCCCGCCCCCGTAGATTCTGCTTCTCTGGGAGCCCTACTACACCTCACGGGCCAGCCTCCCCTTGCCCTCGGCCGTGGCCTTTGCCAGGTGGGGTAGTGCTGGTGTGGGAAGCGGTCTTCAGACGCGGCTCCCTCTAACCAGCTCCTCCCACTGCGGGACGAACAGGGCCCGATGCGGCAGGCAGCTACCTTTGGCTGGGCAGAGCCCGTCCCCCGCAGGGCCCTCCGAACTACCTCGGGGGCTTCTGCGGGGGTTGGCTGTATTGGCCCCAGAGGGCGCACCGCCGTCCCTGGTCTCTACAGGGACACTAGAAGGAACACTGTGGGAGGTGGGGGTGGAAGGCGGTGGAGCTGGGTCCTGTCCTCCAGCCTGGTGAGCGCGGCCTCCTGGAGACAGCCAGGGCCAGGGCCAGGGCCAGCACAGCGTGAAGCCTGGCAGGAGGTGAGGCCAGACTGGGCCCAGCAGAGACCCACGTGGAAAGGCAGCCAGGGCACTGTCCCTGCAGCTGGGAGGCACCAATGCAGGACACAAGGTGCCGGGTAGACTCTGATAAGCGGGAATGGGAGGTGCTGCATGACAGGCAATTAGAGCGCTGGCCGCTTGTATGACCTCGGCTCATCAATGGGGACATTGTGTGGGCAGGGACAGCAATGAAAGGCCTCCGAGAGGCTGAATCCAACCTGAGTCTGGAATGCCGCTGAGTCATAATCCGGCTGTCCGGCACCAGCCAGGCAGGGGAGCCACGTCCCCTGGGTTTGCATCCGGGTAGGAATGAGTGGCTGCTGCCTGTCAGCCTCAGAGGGATGCTCAGGCGCTGCTTCATCCCAGGATGGGGCAGGGTCGGGGGCTGGAGGAGGGCGAAAGCCAATGGAGAGAACTCACAAAGTCCCCGTGTGCAAGTGGGCACATGTGTGTGTGTGCATGTACATCCCAGTGTGCAGCTATGCATGTGTGTGTGCACGCGTGCATGTACATCTCCTGGAGCAAGAGTGCCTGTGTGTGTGTGTGTGCTCATGTGTGTGCCTGTGTGCATGTATGTTCCTGGGTGCAAGCATGCCCGCGTGTGTGCATGTGTGCATGTACGTCCCCGGGGGGCAAGTGTGCCATACATATGCCCGTGTGTGCACATGTGCATGTATGTACCTAGGTGCAGCTATGCGCGTGTGTGTACGCATACATGTATGTCCTCAGGGGCAAGTGTGCCTGTGCGTGTCCGTGCGTGTGCACGTGTGCATGTATGACCCCGGATGCAGCTATGCTGACCTAGCCTCCCTGGCCTCCTGGGTCCTGCCTGGTCCTTACAGCTGGATGACCATGTGTCACTGTGAGCTGCTGTGTCCTTCGGGGACAGACATAGACCCTGGGGCTGCAGTGAAAACACACTGCACAGCGGAAGCCAGGTCCCACGGGCTGAGCAGGGTTCGAGTCCCAGCCCAGCTTGGAAACACACTGGGCCCACGTGCACGTGTCCAGGATCCTGATGAGGGGGGAGTTAAAGGGAAAAGGGCCCTGTAGGGAGTGCTTTCTTTCTGCCCCCTTTCTCCTTCATGTATGTACACATGCCCTCTGTCATGAAAACGGCACATCTATGTAGATGCATGTAAACTTTTCTTATGATCTCTAAAAAGTCACAGTGTTGCAAAAGAGCCATTTTCTGTCCACGACAGGCCAGGGCCCTAACTGCCTTTGCTTCTGGTTCGGGTCTGAGGTTGACCTCGGGTGAGGAGCCCCCTCCTCACCTGCCCTTGGACCACACAGAGGGGACTGCCAGGCAGAGGCCCTGCCCAGTCAGCTGGAGTGGCCCTCCAGGGGTCACGGGTCATCACGGGGACCGTGTGCCAGTGCCCACGTGGTGCACTGTGGGGGACGTTTCTGAGAAGAGAGCTTTCGGGGTGATCTTCCCAATCATTTCTAGGGAGACAGGGCTATCCCCAGTGGGCACCCCAGAAATGAACATGGCGTTTACAGGAGGGAACAAGGACCAGCCAGTTCCGGGAGGGCAGGTCTGGCCTGGCTGACCTGCAGGGAGGGGTGGCCCTCTGAGGGGTTGAGGCAGAGACCCCTGACCTGGCAGACACGCTCCCTTCACCACTCTGGGATGGGAAGAGGTCCGGGTCAGGGACGTGGGTCCCCCGGTCCCCCGGCACATCAGCAATCGGGCTGGAGACCCGAGCCTCCGCCTCACCCCAGGGCTCGGCCCCTCCTAGCACTCTCAAGTACCTCCCACATGCCCTCCAATCTTCCCTCTTCTCCAACTTACTTCTCCCATGAGCAAGAGAGGACACAGATATCCCCAGAAGGGTCCTGACAAAATCACCCCCAGGCCCAGATCGTGAGCATCGCCTGCCTGGCGCTCTCCGAGAGGCCTCTGGGTGCGAACTCTGCACCCTCCTGAGTGGGTCAGCTCACAGAGCCATCACCTCCACTCCACTCTGGTCCCCACAGCCCTCTTCCAGGCCACCCTCGCCCCGGCCTCTCGCTGACTGTCAGGAAAGGAAGGTGCCCGCGCGGCCCACTGCAGGGAGGGCCTTCGGCCTCTTCCCTTGCACCCTCCTCCTCTCGGCCTCCCCACTCTCTGGACTTCCCCAGGGTTGCAGGCTCTGTGAGGTGCTCCTCCAGTCCTCATGGCTGTGGCAGCTCCTGGGGTGCTCAGTTCTAGGACCTGAGGGGTTCCTGTGGGGTTTCCACCGCGGGAGCCTGGGGGAGGGCACTCAGGGGAGGCCCAGGGCTGGCAAATGCCTTTCCGTGGAAGGAGAGCACCCGCAAAGCCTGGAGTGGCCTCCCCAGGGCCTGAGGCCCATCAGGCCAGGTGAATGGGGACCACGGCCAGGTGTGGCCTGTTCTTTAAGCTTCTCCCTGTGGACATGGCCATGGAAGCACCTCCAACTCTGCAGGAAAGGCTGGGCAGGGGCCTGGACTGGCCCTATGGCAGTTCTCTATGTCAGGAGGGGGAATGCAGGTCTACGGGGTCAGCCCACACCTTCCTGCATGAGGCTGCTTCCCACCCCAGAGGCCTCCACCTGTGGTCACTGATTGGCCGGGAGGCCTGGTGGTCGGCGTCTGAGACGGCCCCTTGCCCCGGGCAGGTGTTTTCAGACCAGAAGGGAAGGGCAGGGTGAGATCCCTGGAAAGGTACTTTCCAGATCTACAGGACCCTGGGAACCCACCCAGGGCTGGCCGTGTTCACTTAGTGACGAGGAAGAGGAAACGGTCCTCCCCGCTCGGGCCCAGGGTGTCTTCGGAAGCTGCACTGAGCCAGACCATGGACTAGCCTCGTTCTGCACCTCTCCTGCCCCCGTCTTCTCCAGAGACGACACGGCCCCCAGACACTCTGAATCCCATGCCCTGGGCTTGCTCATGCGCTCTCTCGGTCTGACGCCGATGGCTTCGGGTAGGAGGCCCCTCGCCTGGGGCTCTGACTCGGTGGACGGACGGGCTGTCAGGTGTCGCGGCCGCACTTCACTGGGCATCTGGGCATGGCGTGCCCGGCCACGGTGCAATGTGCTGTGGTGTGTACTGTCAGGGCTGGGCCTCAGAGGGGCCTCCCAGGCCACCTGGGCACTCAGCATCTGCTGTGGGGCACACCCGAAAGCCGGCTGGACGAGGACGAGGATGCATGAGCCTGGGGGAGCTCTCCCCTACCTGGTGGTATCTCCACTGCTCGGGTCCCAGGGCACCTCCCTTGGCTGGCTGGGGGCTGCTGTGGGGGACAGGTGAGGCTCCTCCTGACGTCCTCCTGGCACCCACCAACCTGGCTGGGCCTCGACAGCTGCTGGAGAAGAGAGGGTCAGTGCACGTCTGCCTGGCGCCCCTGGGGTGCTTTCCTGGGCTGGGCCGGAGCGCCAAGGAGAGCACACGCTGGGCCAGACCCTGCTGGCTCCCCGGCACCCGCAGACCAGGGTGGTTTACTCCCAGCCTGGGAGCTTGGTGGGCAGGAGGTGCAGACGAGGGGTGTGCCACCTCCCTGCTCAGCCTCCCTGGCCACTGCGAGGCCCCTCCACGCAGAGCACGAGGCACCGAGAGAGCGGCCCTTGTGTATTTGGGATGCGAACGTGAGGGTGTCCTGCATTCTCACTGCCACACGCGGCACCCCACGCGGGGTCCTCACGGGCTGCCCTCAGCTCCTTCGTGCTGAATCCCTCTGTGCGACCAGGGGTATAGGGCCCAGGATGCCAGCTGGCGCCATGGCAGGGGCAGAGGCAGGCCCCAGGTTACACAGGAGGCCCCACGGGGAAGCAGACCAAGCCCCGGACTGCATGCCGAGGGGCCATCATGAGGGCCTGCTGACAGGCTGTCTGCAGGTGATTTTTTTTTTTTAAGTTTATTTATTTTTTCCATAGTGGGGTGGCGGGGGAGAGACAAGCACCCCCAACAGCATCTATGTGCTGCAATCCAGCCAGCCTGGGATCATGGACACATGTGTGTGCTTGGGCATGCATGCACACGTGTCCTGCATGTTTTTCAAGCTGCCGGGTCCCACATGCTCCCCTTCTTCTGCAGCCCCACCACTTCTCTTTCTGTCCTGCAGCCACGAGGCGAGGTCCATGTCCTGGGAGAAGCAACATGGGACAGACTGCGAGGGGGCCTGGATGTGCTGCCTCCTGAGCTCACACTCCTAGCGCTTCCATTTAAAAAGTAACTGCAGGTGGCGTGAGGGTTAAGGCGGCTGGACCCCACATGGCCAACTGCCTGGTTCAAGTCTGGGACCCGGCAGCTTGAGAAACACACCGAGTATGTGAGCGTGCGTGCCCCAGAGCCTAAGACGAGAATGGAGGAGAATCACCCATCGAATCCCCTTAAAGGTGGTTTCTCACTGCCTCCTGCCCCTCCCTCTTTCTCTGTCTCTCTTTGGTGACAACACGTGCTCTAGAACAAATTAAATAAAATAAACATGAAAATATTTCAGGCTTGGGATCAACAGATGGTGTAGTGGTTATGTCGCTGGACTCATACATAGTTGACCACGGTTCGAGTCCTGGGCCCAGTGGCTTACAACTCATACCAGGCACATATACGTGCATGCCCAAGATCCCAAGAGGTGAATGGAGGAGAAGGGATTGTGACATGGCCATTCCACCGGAGGGGTGATTTCTTCACTTTCTGCCTCTCTGTCCCTGTCTCTCCCGTGAGTGCACACGCCCTATAGCAAAAATCTCTACAGAAAATATGAAAAAAATTAATTTCAGGCTGGCGCCATAGACTAGTAGTTAACAGAGCCGGATTCCATTCACCAACTGTGTGGTTCAAATCCCAGCCCTGGAGGCTTTGAAAACACGCCGTGTGTGTGTGTGTGTGTGTGTGTGTGTGTGTGTGTGCATCAAACCCAGACAGAATGGAGAGATGGAGAAGGGACTGTGGCGTGACCCGCCCTGTGTGTTCCAGGCACGTGCACCACCGTGGCCCTGGGTGGCCAGCACCATAGCCTGCAGTGGGGTGGGGAGTCAGGGCGACATCCCTCCGGCATGGCTTGCGCTGTTCTCCCCTCTAGCCTCGGGGCCGAGGCCATGGTGTAAACCCTTCGTCCCTCTGGCCCGGCCTGCCCCTCAGTACGGACCAGGAGCCCTGAGTGCTGAGGGTCTCACTGCAGCAGCCCCACATGTAGGCCACAGGCCGGCATCTGCCTCCCACGGGCCAGGAGTCCTCATCCATGGAAGTCACGCGTGAAGACTTAGGGGGCAGCCGGTGAGGCTGGCCGGGGCTGGCAGGGAGGTGAGGACAGACTGGAGGGAAGGAGTGGAGGGAGAGCAGGGCCTGAGGGAGTCTAGTCTGCGCAGGCTCTTGAGTGGGGAGGGCATGAAACAGGAGCCATGCAGTCAGCGACGTCGACACCAGCCCCCCCTGCCCTCTCGCCGGGGACCTCACCCCTCAACAGGGATAGCCCCATCTGCACCCTCACTCACAGCCTCAGAACCGGTCTAAACATGGCAGTCCGAGCACGGGGAGGCCTGTCACCCTCAGGTAGAGGATGGGCGAGGGCGGGAAGAGTGGAGGTGGAGGCCGAGCAGGAGCACCAGGCCCGAGGCTGAGGCTGCAGTGGCCAGTCTGAAAGAGGGTGGCAGGAAAAGTGGGGCCTGGCCCAGGAAGCCGGGAGTCCCGAGAAAACGTACTGGGCTTGGCTTTACCAAGTAACAGGATTTTCAAGGAGAATGAGGGAGCTGGCCTGAGCTCAGGCCAGGCCTGGCAGGGCCATGGAGAGCAGCTGACATTCCGTCTCTGAGCGGGTGGGAGGGCAGGGCTGGGGGTTTCTGTTCCGGAGTCCACTGTAGTGGGGGAGTGGGGGGAGCGGGTCAGGTCGGCTAACAGGAGCAGGTGCACGGAAGGGACTCTCGGAGCAGGGTCTTAGCGTGCGGACTAGGCTGTCGGGCCATCTCCAGCACCAGGACCGGGGAAGGGCTGCTGCCCCAGCCCGACGTCACTTTTGCGGGGTGCTGGTGGGCAGCTGCTGCCTCCCCAGGGAGCAGAGGGTCCTTTGAGTACCCACCATTTTCACGCAAGGAGCCGAAAGTTGCAGAGCCCTGACTTGGTTAGGGTTAAAAACCAATCGTTCTTGAAAGTAACAATCGCTTCGCTATCACTGCCATCGTCAGCCCTTCCGGTCCCTGCCGACTGCAGGGCGTGCCCTCCAGGTCAGACTGCACGACGAGGCTTCTCAAGGGGTCCAGGCACACTCTTAATCATTTGGATGAAACAAGGACGTTCGGATCAGACAAGCCCCCTGAATGCTCGGTGGGGAAGTCCAGGCCTGCAGAGCTAGCCATCTTTGTACTTATCAGGGGACACACGTAGTCGCCAGGGAGACAGAGGAAGCGCCCCTCAGCGGAGCGTATGACGCAGTCCTTTTACTGCCACCTCTCCCTCTGACCAGGGTTCGGGGCAAGCAAGCACATGGGCCTGGCGTGTTTGTCAAGCCACCAGGGCTGAGGTTGGAACTGCGGTTGGCCGTGTGGGAATCAGCTCCCTGGGCATGGCACTTAACCGCTATACAATGGGGCTGGCCCTTGAAACCCTTAACTCCATGGCATTAGGTTGAACAGGCAAAAACTGCTGGACCGTGGAGCCTGCCACCTGGACACAGAAGTCTCTGGACAAAGGACTGAGCGAATCACCTTCCAGAGAAGGCGTGTTACCGTGGACAGATCTGGAAAACCCCTCCCAGGTAAGTGTGGACCGAAGTGCTGAGACCGCTCACAGAGACCCTCCCTGCATCCCGGACGATCCACTGGCCGCATGGAAGCCAGTCGGGAAGGCACCGGAAACCAACTGTGAGCACATGACACAAACGTCCAGATGTTTCTTAGGGCCTCGGACCTACTCTGCTGTTGTTTTTCCTATTTGAATGGAAATTAGAGTCTTATCTGGCCTGCTCATAATCCTTTTAATTTCCTTTTGAAAATTAAAAGAAACCACTTTGTACATTATCTGATTGAAAGCATATATATTTTTTCTGGCATCTAATAAGTACTCTTATCCCTCATCTGTCTCTGGTTAACTCAGCTAGATGCTTCTTCAAAACATGGTTGAGTCCCCGAGTTGTTTGTGCCCTGCCGCATGCTCTATTATTTTTTGGAGAGGTTTTTGCTACATGGTGCGTGTGCTTGCTAGAAAGACAGAGACAGAGACAGAGAGACAGAAAGCGAGAAATCACCCCCTCGGAGGATGGCCACACCGCAATCCCTTCTCCTCCATTCTCCTCTAAGGATTGGGCAAGCATGCACACGCGCCCGGCATGAGTTTAAGCCACTGGGTCCGGGACTTGAACTGCGGTGAACTACGTGGGAGTCATAGCTATTACGCAAACTGCTGGTCCCAGCCCTGTCAAGTGTTCTGACCCAGGCCAGCCAACCAACACTCAGTGGGCGCCCTCATGCCAGTTGGAGGAACCAAGTCCGGTCATAGGTGTGCCTCGTTCTGAGGTTACCACTCACACTAAACCCGGAGTTCCCCGGTCAGGAATCCCATCCGGGAGCACAGGCTCTGAGAAGGGGATCTGGAGAAGCCCAGCGTGGGGTCTAGCTGTGTGAGCGGAGGTCCAGAGGCCTCTGACCTGGGCTGTGGCTGAGCCCAAGGGGCAGTGAATGACTGCAAACGCCCATGCTGATGTGCTGAATTCCAGGCACCTGGCGCCCGAAGTGGACGGCCCGCTGTCCCCATGCTTACGTGGAGAGGAAACGCAGGACTCGGAAGCACCAGGCCGGCCCTCCTTGCCGACGGCCCGGTGATGGTCTGGCAGGGCCTGTCGGGCAGTGTGGGAAGTGAGATGGTCCTCCAGCCTGCAGGAAAACATGGGGACCCATAGTCAGTACGAGGACCGGCTGGGGGGGCACCGCAAGTGAGGGGGCTGTGCTGGGATTGTCAGACCAGGGTGGGCAGGTGTGCCTTTCACAGGGGACCAGCCGAGACCAGGAGGCTGACCCTGGGAGGCAGGAGCCTCGCGTTGCTCGTCAGCCCCCTTGTCAACTTCCAGGGACACATGGCTTATTAGCATGCTTCTTCTTCTTTTTTCTTAAATAGTTTTATTTATTTATTTATTTATATTTACATTTTGTCATGTCTTTACAGTATACATTTCTTTTTCCAACACAGAAACCATGCAAGTCAGTCAAGACAAGAGTATTACCATACACATTATCATTGGCAAACAGCTTCTCATTTTTTTGTCAATTAAGCATATATATAGACAGAGACAGAGAGACAGAAAGTGAGAAATCACCCCCTGCCCTTCTCCTCCATTCTCCTCTTGGGATCTTGGGCACACACGCACACGGCATGAGTTTAAGCCACCAGGTCCAGGACTCAAAACCGTAGTCGACTACATGGGAGTCCAGCAACAGAGCCATTATGCCAACTGCCGGTCCCCAAGCATACTTTTTCTAACGCGCAGTTATGTCTATGGCTTCGGGTGACATGGGACCATGACACTTTAGCCCAACAACTTGAGGCACAGATCTGGATTTTCTCCAAGGATGAAGCAGAGAAGAGATGAATCCACTCAGCGAGGGCAGAGCAAGCTCTTAAGTCCGCCAAGAATCAGGCGGAGCAGGACGGGGACAGCCTTTCCTGTCACCTGCCCGCAGGCTGCCTGCAAAGCATTTCTGGGTCACCCAATGCCGCAGGACCACATCCGCCCGCAGACACCCCTCAGCCGCCTCGTTGTGCCTGGCAGAGGGCAGGCAGGGCTGGGCAGGCCCCTCGGGTTGGCCGTGACAGCAGGTCCTGAGCAAGACCGTGCAGGACACAACCGCGCTTGCCTCGTGTAGCCAGGGAGTGTGGGGAGTGGCCACCCACTGAAGCAAAGGCCAGTGGGGCCCCGACAACAGCCCAGGGTGCAATCTACAGAATGACTGCTCTTGATGGCCAAGTCCACAGGTTCAACCTCACGCAAAGACGAGCAGGGCCCTAACCACCCGCGGGCAGGAATGGCGTCCTAAGGAGGGAGCACTAAGTCCTGAACTCTGGGGTGGGCTTGGCCAGGGCCCAGAGGGGGCGAGTTTCCCAGAGAAGATACTGTGGGCAAGGTGAGGAGGCCGCACCCACCAACCGAGGAAACCAAAACACGTAACACACTCATAGATGTACATACACACTTGTATATACTCATACATGTACCCACATGTATACTAATATATGTGTATGCACACATATATACTCTCATATACATATATATGCGCACTGTCATGTGTATGCTCACACATGTATCTTTATATACATACATCCTCATATATGTGTGTGACACACACATATGTACACACTAGTATATACTCATATACCCTCATATACAGATATACTCATATACACATGTACACACATACACTCATATATGTACACACGTGCATACTCATATATTCATACATATATATCCTCATATACACTCATATATACATGTGACACACACTTAGACATATATACACACTCAAATTCACTCAATATGTACAGATATATACTCTTAGACATATGTGCCACTCTCATGTACACACATACATATGTATGTGCACTCATATACTCAAACATATATCTTTACATACACTCCATATATACATGTGTGATACATACTTAGACACATACACGCACACATACACTCATATGTACACAAAATATATACTCATATACACACAGGTGCACTCATATACTCATACATATATCTTCATATACATACACTCCATATATACATGTGTGATACACATTATGCACTCATATGTACACACGGATATATACTCATACATATGTGCACATGCTCATGTACACACATATACTAATATACACACATATGTGCGCACACTCATATACTCATATATCCTCATATACACATACTCTTATATGTGTGATAGACACACTTAGACATGTACACACTCATATGCACTTACGTACACATATACTCATACATATGTGCACTCATGTACACATACTCACATGCATACACACATGTGCACTCATATATCCATACATATATCCTCATACACACTCATATATGTGTGATACACACACTCAGACATATGTACACACTCAAATACACTCATGTACACATATATACTCATATATATGTGCACACTCTCATGTATACACACATACTCATATACACACATGTATATGTACACACTCATGTGTGTGATAGGCACACACACACTTGTATACACTCATATGTACACACAGATAAATGCTCATATACGTATGTACACTCTCATGTACACACATTTACTCATATACATACACATATATGTGCACATTCATATATATACTCATATATAGGCCCTCATATGTGTGTGTGTGTGATATACACATACACACTCATAGACACATATACTCAGATATGTACACACACACCCATATAGGTACCCAAATACACCATATATGCACACATATATATATATACTCATATATATGTGTGCACTCTCATGTACACACATACTCATTTACATACACACATATATGTCCACACTCATATATATCCTCATATATACACATTCTCATATATATGAGTGTGATACACATATATACACTCAGAAACTCGGACACATGTACACACATATTCATACACATGTGCACTCTGTACACACATTCACATGTATACTCATACACACGTGTGCATTTATCTATATACTCATATACACACCCACTCATATATATACGAGCATGTGATACACACACACGCTGTGTTGTTACAGTAACTTTAGGCACCAGACAACGTGGACACCCCCTCTCCTACTTGTGGAAGGACTGTGTAGGGCAGGGTGTCCTGGGGAGCTGTGATAGCTGGGGGCATGTGCATTAAAAGGGTCCCTGTAGGCCAGGCTGGGGATTTAGACTTGACCCCCAAGTGAACCGGGAGCCAAAGAAACGCCATCCTGTGCTAGAAAGAGTGATCGGTCCTTGTCGTGGCCCCC